TGATTGACTATTTGAGCTTATTATCCACATATATATCCGTACCTTTTCCTTAGCCCACATTACAACCCGTGAAGTCCTCTTGATTCGCATATTTTGAGCTTTGATCGTTTTTGAGTAAATTAGACTGTTGGCAAGCATATGTTGAAACTTGAATATTGACCAATTTTGAGTGTACCTATCATATATTCATGAAAGAAATGAGTGAGGCATATATGATGATCTATGTTTTGAGAGTTTGTCATTTCGAGGTCAAGTTGATATTTGAGGCATATGGTTGTACGTTCATTGGAATTCGACTCAATTGAATTGGGCATTTTGAGACTCTTCTTATTTGAAACCGTATCAATGCTCGTGTCTTTTTTTTTTTCTTTTTGTTCGGGACGAACAAAGGTTTAAGTGTGGGGGAGTTGTTTGTCCCATTTTTGTTGCTTTTTCATTGTTATTTTTTCATTCTTTTTCCCCCATTACGAGTCATTTAGTTGGTTTTAGGTTCATTTTGTCATTTATCGTGTGTTTTGTGTTGTCTTGAGTGCCCCGGTAATTCTTATGTTTTTTCTGGTAGTCTTCCGTTTGTGTTTTCGTTTTTGGTGTGTAGGTCGGGAGCTTCGGGAGAACAGGTTTCTGGGAATTTATTGGGGAAGCTGACACCATTAGAAAGAGGGGTTCTTTAGCAACGCGTAGAAAAAAACAGAACTCAATTCCGAGTTATAACGAACCCGAACGAGCAAAAACCGTAAAGTCGTGCAGTGCAGATTTCATCGCCGCGGCCGCGACCCTTTCTTCACCGCGGCCGCGGCGAACAAAAATCTGCCAGTTCCCAAACTTCAGCGCAGAAATGTCGCGGCCGCGGAGCCTCCCGCGGCCGCGGAGGTCGCGACCAGATTTTTAAAAGCTAGGTTTTGTTCGTTTTTTTCGAGTACTTGGCTTGGGGACTCGTTCCCAGACCGAAAGGAATCCCCCAAACTCGTTTTTTTTTTCCTTCTCTTACCCTAAGAACACTATATTAATGTTGGATTTCATCATCACTTGGAGATTTTTATCTTGTGCTTAGATTAAACCTTCAATTTCATCTAAATTGTAAGTTTCTCTTTCAATTGATCTTTGATTATGGAAGCTTGGGTTTGTATGGTTGATTGTTTAATCTTGAATATGAGTAGCTAAATCTTCATGCTAGGGATAGGGGATTAATGTTTTGATCTCAATTATGATTATTGTGCTTGTTGATTATTCAATTCATGTGGGTTGATCTTGACTAGGGTTTTGTGAAATTGTTTTGGAATTTTGAAAATCATTGAAGTAGTGACACTTCAATTTACAATTGTTCATCGATTGGGTTGGATTTTCTCTTGAATGATTTCCTGGATTCTATTGCTTGATTGATTAAAAACCATTAAGCTATTTAATCGACTTTTGGAATCGAAAGAGGAGGAGTCGATAGACCTAGGCCACATGAAATTGGCTTGTTTGTAATGGTATTACCAATATGTTTAAAAGGACTTATTGATTTGCCGTTCATATTAATCCTCTTGTTACGAAGAGTTATTGAGGACAATCTCTGAACGAGTAGTTTATCAAATTCTCTTAACCGAATGATCATTTGCTCGATAATCGTATTTTGATCCATAACGGATATCCCTGATTCCCTAGCTTTTTCATTGAGGTTTATCCACTTGGGACTCGCTTCCCTAAAGCTTCGTAAATTGAGCTAAGCTTTCATGTTTTAGGTAAATTTATATTTTATGCATTCTATTTTATTTCCTAGTTGATAATTCACCCAATCTTTATCTGATTAGAGTGTTTAGGATTTATTTTGCTTTTATGTGCTGTCAATACCAAAGTTGAATTCCGAACCGCCTTCCTCGTGAGATCGACTCGGGGAACGAATCTTTCGATTCGGTACTCGGTAAAAAGAATAATTTGTACACAACAAAACTTTCAAGCCATCGAGTCAATGTCATTCAAATTCATATCCATATTCAAATATCCAAATCCTAATGTAAGAAGAGAAAAATCGGATAAGATAAATATAGATTGTACTCCCATCGCTTAAATGAAATATATTCAAATTAGTACAAAAAATTTATATTTTTCATAAAATTTGATTGTTATATATTATTTAATTTATCTGTATAGTAGTAGGGTGAAAATGATGCACTCATTTTAATCAGAATGCTATCGTGAACACAAGGGCACGATAAAAGTCACCCATCCAAAATACTCGGTGACCGTCGCATCATATGCCACATCGTGTCTACTAGACATAAACCTACCCCATACACTACAATATCTTCTTATTCCTTCTAAGAAAAAAAAAAAAAAAAAAAAAAAAAAAAAAAAAAAATACAATTTATACCCACTTAAAGCTCAGCCGTGCCCGTCCTCATCCGAGCTCCCACCTCGCCTGCAGCATCCGAAGCCTTCTCTTTAGCCGCCTCGTATTTCTCTCTCGCCCCTTCCGACATCTTTTCCCTAGCCGATCCGTACGCCTTGCGAACCCTCGACTTCGCATCCTCGTACGAATCAAACGCTCTGTCCCGCGCATCACCTGCCTTCTCTGTCGCCATCTTTATTGCCTGCTCCCCCTTACTTGCAATCCCTTCTTTAGCCGACTCGTAAGCACCGTTAGCTCGATCTTTGACATTATCCATTGATCGAGCGGCCCTATCCGAAGCCCCCTCGTACGCATTGTAAACATTGTTGCCCGCTCTATTTGTGGTCTCGTATCCCTTGTCCTTTGCTGTTGTGTACACATCTTGGGCTTTTTCTTTTGCATCGGAGGCAAGATCCGAGGCAGATTTGTAGGCATAGTTTGCTTTGTCTTTCCCAATTTCGTGGGCTCGGGAGCCAATGTCGGAGGCCGCGTGCACGGCTTCACCTGCTTTTTCCGAGGCATAGTTTTTGCCCTGGCTGAGTTTTTCGGAGGCATCTTCGTACGCACAGTTCGCTTTTTCCTTCCCAATTTCGTGGGCTCGGGAGCCAATGTCGGAGGCCGCGTGCATGGCTTCGCCCGCTTTTTCCGAGGCGTAGTTTGCTGTGTCTTTGCCGCTTTCATGGGCTCGGGAGGCCATCTCTGAGGCCGCTTTCATGGCATGGCCCGCTTTTTCCGAGGCATAGTTTCTTGCCTGGCCGAGTTTCTCAGAAGTCGCGTCGGCAACCTCATTGGCCTTCTCCGAAGCGTATTTTGATGACTCTGCAACACCAGGGCGATTAATTATTAATCAATTAATAGGGTTCAATTAGAAATAATTAGCAATCTTGTAATTATAAGAAAACTTGGCAAAGGTATATCATATATGTATACCATATGCGGCAGAATTAATTGTGTCCGTTGATTTGGAAGCAGCATCTTTGGTTTTGTCCACAAACTTGTTGGCCGTGTCGTAGGTGCTGTCTGTATCCGTTCCAATTTTCCTAAACAAACAATTGATCGTATACATGAACAATTGATATCTAAACAAACTAGGCATATTTGTCTGATATATTCTTTGTCCGATATATTCTACCGTTACGGAACCAATCTGTCAGAATTTGTAACCGTTATATCAACTATCCATGATGGTTGCATGCATGATATATCTAACGGTTACATATCCCGACGGGATATTCTACGATCCTGTTACGACCATTCCATCGATGTTTGTAACCGTTACATCACTATTCACGACGGTTGGATGATAATCTAACGGTTACACCGACTGGTTACGGTTACATATCCCTAACGGGAGTGTAGCATCATTTCCCTGTAATGCTTTTTACTTTTTCCAATTGACAAAGGGTAGAAAAACAAATACATTCAAAGACCATAAATTAGTCGTACTTGATATCATAATTAATTTAAATAATTGAAAAACTGTTACTAGCAAACTAAAACGAGATCATATGATAATGCTAATTTATATTACTGGGAGAACTTGTGCATAGCCCAATCAGCCCAAGAGTCAGCGCGGTCCTTGGCTTCCTGCATCGCCTCCGCCATGTGAACTCTCTCCTCCGACGCATCACCCCGGCACCGCGGCGCCGCCGCCGCCGCCGCTAGGCAAACTACCACAAACATCGCCGTCGTACTGATCTTCAACGCCATCTTGGGAATAAATCTGATACGTGTATTTAATTTGTTTTTATTTATGATTTATGTATTGTTAAATTGAGTTTTGGGAAAAGGTGAAGAGATTATATAAAGGGGGCGGTTGAGGGGGTTGATTTTATAAGATGAGACGTGGCGGGTTGCGCGGGGACGAGGATTGGTTGAGTTCTGCCACGTGTAGTTTATAGGTTATCGTTGGTTGATGGGTGAATGCGTGATGTACTCTTAGCCAAATGCAAATGCCAATGGTTTGGGAGTTGGGACCCCAAGTCTTGGGAATGGGGGGACCGGGTCAAACGTTAACAAACAAATGATTGAAAAACAAGACATTCATGTCTTTTGTAAAATTTGGTTTCTTTGAATATTGACTTGCGATGTGTCGACTTTTCTAATTACCATTTCACTAGGGAGAAGTAGCACGTGTAACGCGAATTATAGCTCGATCGGATTTGAACCACCTTCTGCTGATTTGAACCGCCTTTGTGTTTTCGATCACCTGAAAAACGCCGAGAGGGGTCCCGACAAAAAACAGTCCGACGATCAAATCAGCTCAACGTTCAGCAGAAATATGTATAAGAAGTAAATTCGCACGTGTATGTGTGTGTTGTGTAAAAAGAATGAACATGTGTCCTTTTCATAGTTAAGGTTACACATTATAAGTCGGAGAGTTTCTGTTGGACAAGATGTATTTCTAGTACCTACTTCTAACTTAGGTCAAAGATTTTCGAATCTTCATAACCCTTAACACTGCACATACCCTAGACTCCTAGACGAAACCTTTCCGCCGAGATCATCTTCCTGAAGCTCCTACCGAGCTAAAATCTTCACTCCGTGGGTGGCCTCGCCGAGCACCGGTGAACGCTCACCGCCGAGCTCTCTCACCCCGTGGGCAATTGTGTTGAGCACCGGCGGATGCTCACACCGAGCTCCTCCACTCCGCGTCCACACCACAAGCAATCGTGTCGAGATGCGGCTGAGCTCGGCCCATGCCTAGTCCTCCATGAAATATTATTTGTGGCCGTATCAGTACGCATAATTTGGTGGCTACCTCCGTATCCTCAAACTTTGAAAGGAAAAATAGAAAATGATGAAAGTAAATGGACAACATCTGTGCATATATATTCCAACGTGAAATCCTCTACGGTGATATATTCCAACATAAATTCTAACGGATATTCTATTGGCATAGCTTCCATTGAAATGATTCAGTAGAATTCCACCGAAAATATTTCGTTGGAATGAGTTTCCCATAGAATTTTAGATGGAATTTGATAATTCCAACTGCTATTTTTTAACGGTTTTTTACCGTAGGAATTTCCGTTTGAATATCCAGTTTCTATTGAATTTTTATTTCTATCCCCTTGGAAAATATATCGTTGGAATCGTCAAAATCCAACAAAGATTCAAATGAAAAAATCATCCCAACGGAATATTTTTGTTGGAATTTCTGTCTAAATCTATTGAAAAATTTAAAAAGAAATAATAACTTTGGAATATCCATTGAAATTGTCGTTGAAATTCCATTGGAATAAATTTCTGTTGCAATTTTATCATATTACTTGTAGTGATAGTTGAGTCCAATTTGTTTTAATTAATCTGCAAAATTATAGATTATAGAAAATATTATTGCTTAATTATAAGAAAATGTGTCGTTTCAAAGGGTACAACAGTTGAGTTTACAGTAAGTAATTAGTGTGCGTTTATTTGATTTTGTAAGACCTAAAATATACTAACCTGGATTATCCCATTAAATGGCTATGACATGGATGATAAATCAACATCGGCGACACCCCATTGTCCAAATGTGAAACAACAATCAAACTTCTAAACACGTAAAGACACATCGGCCAGCAACCACGGATGTATGGGGATTCATTCATGCCGATTTGAACTAATTTAGGGTGAAAAAGGTTGTTGCCCAGAATCGATTCGCACCGTCCAAAAAATCAGTCACTTGAGCAAGTTGGTATGCCACGTGGCCTTACATGTAGAGAACCCCTGAAAGTCCGCCACAAGTCCCGAGAATAGTAAATATCAATGTCCATTCCCTTCTATGAATAGTCATTCTCCGGTACATGGAAAATCATCAGAAAACAATAAGAAATAATAGATTTCAATCGATAGCACATACTAGTTCCATTGCCTTCAATAGATCTATGTAATAAGAGTCCCAGAAGCGATCCAATTTCATCAATAAATCTTGATGCAAGTGTATCAACGCCAACACCTTATTCGTTGACTGTCTCATGACCCTAAGTTTCTTTTATGTCTTTCATATCCAAATAACATTCTCAATTATAGCATATTATCTCTTTGTGTTCTTGTTTGCAAAATCGTCCATCAACAAATTGGCGTAGGAGGAAGGGTTACTTTCAGCCAAACATCTGCATAATTCCTCTCTTCTCGCTACTCTGTCCAAAAGGAATGGCGACCGAGTCGACCCTCCATGTGATTCATTTCTGCTCATTATTATGTCTAAAAAGAAAGAAGGCTCAGCCAAACCTCCTAATGATTCATTTTTTCCCGTTACTTTGTCCAAATAAACACCCACAAATACGCCTCAGACAATGGCATTATTTTATCCTCCCCATAATTCATCTTGTCACCTTACTGCTTGTAACAATGACAAACACAATAATTTTATTAAACAATCTTTGTTTCTCATATTAGTTCGACATCAACAAGAAAATGGATCAATTAGTTCACCCTCAACAAGAACGTCATGAGGGTGGAAAATTAGTCCTACAATGATAAAGGTTGCAGAGTAGCCGAATGATCTACGAGTGACTTGGAAAGATGATGCTTTTGGAACTTCTTCATTTACCCTTCCTTACGCTCGTAAGACGTTCGACCCAGTGAACAACCCGCCGATCTAGGTAAAGTTGATCTCATGCTTGGTCAATAATATTACTCTCGACAACTAGGAGATCAATCGACCAACCTGGGCCAGGGATGTCGATGAGTTTTTTCTTCAACCTCACGAGATCAACTATCAAGGTCAACAAACACTCCAAAGCGCCAAAATCCATCTAGTCGTCGAAAGTGTCATCCGTCGTGACTTATCCTGAGATTCGCGACGATGCAACGTGTCTCACACAAAACAATTGATAAGAGGTAGAACAACTCGACTTGTTGAACCGATGGCTCAGGCGATCTAAATAGAAATGATGTCGGGTCTCTTACGAAGATGCATGAGTGACTGGGCTAGTTAAGGGTATCCATCATCAAGATGTCCCCAATAAAATTTCCTATATATTAGCTTCTTCATAAACCTTGTATATTTCTTCGACAATCATTACTGTAGATCTACAAAATTAACATGTGTCGAGAAGTGATCTAGCTTTTTGTAGTTATAGTATTGCTTTATGTTTGATGTTTGTAAGCACTATCGATCTGTTATAAAGAAAATGGTTGCAACATCAACCATCACAATAAGGCGCAGATTTCGACCAATACCCCATTTTTACGGTTTCCTTCGGCTTTATGATAGATAATTTCATGCACTTGTATTAAGGAGTTTTTCGGTGGATATTATTATTATTATAAAAACCAAAAGTATATCACAACAATCCATTGGTTTACATCGATTTGATCTAAAGTTGTTACAGAATTAAATGTTTCATCGTTCTATCTATGCATCATTAAAATTGTAAGTATTCATCAATCAATTATAAACTTGAAGTATTAGAGTGATCTAAATTAAAATATTATTCTTCTATTTCCCCGTACTCCATTAAATTCTCGCCCCAATAAAATTTACTCTAGATTTAACAAGATATGCTCAAATTCCTAAAATAAGTTACCCCATATTTATTCCTCACAACCTAAGAAATACAATTCATACACTTTTATATATTTATATATATAT